AACCATGAATATATTGAGGGTGACACAGTTGATTTTGCAAGACGGATCGCTACCGTTCACTCCAATTAGTTTTTCAAACAGCTTTCATCGGTGAACGAGCTCGCCTTTGACACCTTTGCGAAATATTTTCAGTTTTCATGGCACGTGTTAGTCGGAACTGGTTTCCTTCTTCTCATACCGATTATCACACATTTTTGAATGTCTTCAAGGTCTTCTCTCTGTACTATCAGCTCCCTCGACTTCCCTAGTCTCCGCAGTCTCTCCCTATTTCTTCCTGTTCTATCTCATTCGCCATCTACATTGCTTACTTTACTCCAATCGGTCTTTTCAATCTTGAAAAGTAGAACTGATGATTCTTGTTGATCACTAAGACGGAAAACTCAAGTTCCTGTTTTACTTTAGAATACCATCTCAGTCCATCTCTAGTTAATGGGTTTTCGTTACGTTTCCATCTCAAATGCCGCTTTTCATTGATGTCCTATAAATAAATGAATGAGTAACTAAATGTTCTGTGTACTTTAAATAATCTTAGAGGCAAAAAGGTGTTATACGCCATCGCTTTCAACTTATATTTTTCTTTCGTCCTATCGTTTGGATGAGTATGTGGCCTATACATACTAGAGAGGGCCAGAAGGTAGAGAAGACCTTGATTTCTTACGGTCAGACTATGAAAGGTATCTTCGATTATTGACTTTGAACGAATGATAGACTTGGTTAAGCTGAGCCAGTCTCGGGTTTCACTATCCCACCGTACGGTCGCCGTAGATTCTTCTCTTGGTAGTACCCACGCTCCCCCTCCTTGACTTTTTCTAAAGAATGTGGCTGTGCTTGACTTTGGGTTGTTACAACTTTATCTAATCGACGCTTTTCCTTTTTTTGGACCAGTTAATTTGCCCCTTATACTTCCTAAAAATCAACTTTGTCATTTATATTAATTGCTTATTTTTTATTTATTTCACAATTCTCCTATTCTTTCGATTTTTCAATTTCATATACTGATATCGCTTTTACCGACACCTTCTTCCACTTCCCCTTTCTTTTTCATGAATTCTATGCTTTTCCTCTGAGCCTAATGAAATGCTCGATCCAAGTTGGGGCATCGATCTGCAATCCAACTGTTGTCTTAACCTCTATACCTTTACAACGCTATCATTAAATTCTCGCACATGATCAGTTCATGGCGGAGAAGATGGCAATATCGATCTACGGTGGCAAGGTCCTTCGGTGTACTCAGTGTTTCTGGAGTTACCCCCTACTCCTGGTCGATGTGGTTTAGTAACTCCGGAAGAAAAATCAGTCTTTGCTGTTCTTTACTGTTGTTCGTCGTGGTCCACTGATGGAGCGTTTCATAGAGATGCTGATTTATTGGTAAAACGTTGAGCCTCGGACGAGATTCAAACTCGCACTTGTTACTCTCCTCCCAATGAATCTGAAGGCCTGAAAAGTGGAAGTATGGGATCGAATTTCATATGGGTCTAACGTTCAGCCTATTCCTAATTGTAAGCATCTTCATACTGCCAGGACAGCGCTTACTATTTTATTTTGCTCATGATTGGGAGGGTGAACAGGGTAACAGGGTTAACAAATGAGGAATCACTTCTTCACCTACCTCATCCCAT